CGAATTTTGAAAAAAATTCATATCTCATGACTATGTTGATAAAAAAATTCGAAAAAAATCATGGTAGCTTCTTGCGATGAGTACTATAATATATCAAAATTTCAGCCAAATAAAATATCCAAAAGTTTTTGAGTGGCACACTTGGCATGGAATGACCCATATTCATAAATAAAATTATATGTGAATATATATGATTATAATACCTGTATACAATCACATAAAATTATATATGATCGTACATGTACTCATAACGTGTACTCATATATGACCATTTATCGAATCATACATGTATAATTATACGTGACATGTATCAAATCATATACATATGATTGGATACAATTATATATAAATTATCTATAGTTATATATATGTATATATATATATATAAAAAAACATATATTTATGTGTGATTATATACAAAAATTTTTACTTGGAATGTTATCACAAAAAAATTATAAAAAAATTATAAAACCTTTTGTTCTTTTTCCTCTTCACTACTTTCTTCGTAGTAATTTTTTTTGTGTGTATGCGCAGTTTTAATATAAATGGAATTGTCTGTTTTGATCAATACGCCAGGACAACCAGGGACCTTGCCTCTTGTTTTGTTCGCACAGCGATATATAGTTTCATTTCTCTTGTCAACGTAATACTTAAAATTTTTATATACGTAATAACATTTCCCTGGCCTGCTTTCGATTTTTTCCATTATTTGTTTATATAGGCTAGACAATAATATATAAAAATTATATTAGTATGACGACGGGCAACGAGCCAAAATAAAAACAATACACTTCAAAAGAACAAAGAACAATATATTGAGATAAAAAAGTAAAACATAAGTAAAACAAACGTTTTGACGCCGATTGGGTCATTTTCAATGTTAACAAATATTCTAAAATTAACGAAATTATTACAATAAAAAATTCTTAAAAATTATGCGATCTGCCCGGATACTTGAAAAAATTGTAGTCAATCATTAAAGTCGTCGGATAAAAATTGTGTTTGCCTACCTTGATTCTCCGAGCCACTCGCCTAACTCGGCTTTGATCAACGCGCATATAAACGATCCTAGTAACGATGCTGCAAATTACGATCGTCAATCAACACTTATAGAACGTAACGCATGCGACCTTGCTGTAAACTGTAACAAACACGACACGTATGTTTTATTGCTTTCCCGCCGTGTGCTCCTAACACTCCTAACTTCTTTAGATATGAATTAAACGTTAGGTTCTAGGTTCAAAAGATACTGGAAAGTTGTTTCTTTGGTGTGAGACGTAGTATGCTTTCCTTTTAGAGGACACACACGATACAAACATTCTATCCTTCTTGACATTCAACGAATGATAATTCGCTACTGGGTACACGGAAAGGGCGAAACAGGAAAGGCTACTTTCGTAGACAGCACTGGTTACTGTCTATG